CAAAGCCCCAGTAGATAGTTGTATGTCATAGCTGCACATCCTTCTAGTTGCTGTATGTGGGATGCAGCCTCAGCATGGCTGGAGAAGTGGTGCGTCCGGGTGCACCCGGGATACGAACCCAGGCCGCCAGCAGCAGAGCGAGTGCACTTAACCGCTAAGCCACGGGGCCGGCCCAGATAGCCACCATTTCTATGAATTTAATTTCTAAAGGAAAATGACTTATTAGCTTTTACTGTCCATAAGCAAATTATTCACAGTAATTTTAATTTTAGGATTGTGCATGTCCTGAGCATGATGCTGTGACCATCTCTTTCTAGCACTATTTTGTGTGTGCTTAGAGATTACAAACTGAAACCAATATCAGCCCATCATCAGAGATAAAACATACCCCCAAATCCCAATGCTTAACAACCCCAATGTATCATCTGCAATTTATATCCTCTTGAGGTGGAGACAGTGTCTTTGGAATAAGAAAGACCCGGATGTGAATCTTGGCTCCACCCCATGTCACCAACTGTGTAACTTCAGGTAAGTGACTAATCTGAGTGCAGTTTTCTTGTGTATAAATGGAGGGAGTATCTATTTCATGAGAGAACTGGGAAGATGGTAGAGTATCTAACACAAAGTAGGCACCCAATAAATACATTGTCCTTTATCTCCAACTATGATAGATAAATAGGATAACTCTATATGGTTTTCAAAAAAGTTTTTTGTAGGACTGGCTGCTCCACAAAGGCTGCTCGCTCATCAGTCTGGACCCCCCAAAACATCCAGAATGGGGTTGTAAAATTATAAACAGTTGAGACATTCAGTACATGCAGTTTACTGACTGACTGACCTTGCTTAGGTTGTGAGCCACTCACCTAAATAGCCTTGGGTCTTTTTCTGTAGTGCAGTGACTGGGCAGTCTTTGTGAGCTAACAGTAGCTGTTTCAACTGAGCCACCTCACTGCGTAGTAACGTGACTTCAGTCTAAGGAGGGAGGGAAGAAAAGAGTATCAGGAAAATTCATGCTGCACTCTTGAACCCCTACTGGCTGTCTTCAAAGTGAGAAGAGAATGCTGCCTGGATTTTCTCCCCTGAATCTGGGCAAGACTCCTGATCAGCAAGGCTTCAGACAGCCCAGGGCCAGTATAGTCATGAATTCAATGACAAGAGTTGCTTACAGTGAAACATAGGGATTTATAATAGAAAAATTACTCCTATTTAGGATAAATATGATTATACCAAAATTAACAAAGCATACGCCCTTTGACTAAGAAAGCCTACTTCCAGGAATCTATTTAACAGAACTATCTACTCAAGAGCATACAATATTCACTGCAGCATTGCTGTTCTAGCAAAAAATTAGAAACATTATAAATACCCATACCTTATAATATAACCACACTATAGAATGTACTACTATACAGCTATTTAAAAAAATGAGGTGGCCCCTCTGTATACATGGTTAGATCTCCAGGAGATACTGTTAACCCATTTATGTTAAAACACACACACAATCCCTCCCTGACTCCCCCACAAAAACTATAAATGAAAAAAATATTTATAAATACATATATGTCTAGTAGGTACACACCAAACTTATCTATAGGGAAGAGAATGAAACTGGGAAAGGCATATTGAAGAGGGACTTTGTTTTTATTCTATACCCCTACATGTGTATTATATATATGCTATATATATAAATATATTACTTTTTTTTTTTTTTTTGTGAGGAACATCAGCCCTGAGCTAACATCCAGGCCAATCCTCCTCTTTTTGCTGAGGAAGACTGGCTCTGAGCTAACATCTATTGCCAATCTTCCTCCTTTTTTTTTTCCCCCAAAGCCCCAGTAGATAGTTGTATG